CTCGGGAGTTTCCCGAATCAAATAACAAAAACTAAACATTCGCATCACCGAGAATTAGTTTGAAGATTGTCGAAATTCAGAGATTACAATAATAATGTTTACGATAAAATGTACTTTTCGTCATACTGACAACGATAGGAATATTGTCGAGTTTTCTTGTGCATTCTTGACAATGTTAGGGCCCCCTCAATCGCGGGGCCCCGGTGCACAGCATCCGCCGCACCCCCCGATGGCCGGCCCTGGTTATTTCAATCAAAAATTTTCTCCAGAACAGTTAGAGAGATGACCGGCAGGACGCTATTGTTAAAAGAAAAGTACAATGTACAGGGCAAGACACTAAAGTACTAATTTGAGTTGGAAAGAATATATTTTAAATTAAATAAAAAATATGCTTAAAAATTGCAGTCCGGTATTGTGACGATGTCACAATAAATAATTGCTCGTTCATAATATTTATTATAAGTCTTTCCACCCTGTGGGCACGAAGAAGACCTTTTTTCTAGGCCATTATATGTTCGTCCAGGCCAACAATGCGACGGCCGTGTGGTGAGAAACGAGGACGGACCCAAGGTCTTAGAATATATTCTGACCTTGGGACGGACCAGCCCCGAAAAATTTCTAAGAAAAGCTTTCTGAGTGACCACGAGAAAGAGTCAAAAATTAAATAAATAAATAAGTAAATATATCAACATTAAAATGTGNCAAAAAAAGAAAATAATAATATGTAAAATAAAGAAATAATTCAAAAATACATTTTTTAAAAAGTGTAATGTACAGTATTTAAAACTAAATACAAAATCATACTATTGCAAATGAACATTCCATTTGCAATAGTATCCATTATTATGGTAAGAAAGATTACAAAAGTATGCTTAAATAAAAATTTTTCATACATAAAGTCATGATAGGTGGCATTGGGGTTATGCAACTGGGTCTGAACCTGTTCCATTATTGGAGAATTGTATCGTAACATGCTAATGACTTTTTGATCCCAGAGTTTCGACAAAGCCTTCGAGATACCTTAAACATGAAAGATGGTATACCATCCCACATCCCTCTCGCTGTTCAACATGTTAAGGCAGACTTACAGATAAATGGGTTTATCAGATTTTATCCAATACGACTTCTGGGCTATGGGATTCTGAAAGACCAAGTCTATTGTGAAAGTTGTGCATTTGTATCAGATTAAAGTGGACTCCTTGCATTCAGCAATGGAAAACATGAATGGAGCATATATATTGAATATTTGTAACCAGCCCCACCTATTGGTGATGTCTGTACGAAAAATAAATGGCGCGAGGTGGCGGGACGAAAAGCGAGCAGGAGTAGCTCGAAGTAACCAGCTGGATGTAGAAGTGTTTAGTTGTATTATTAAAGAGTTATTTGTACCATATTATCTGGTCAGTTGAGTCGTTTATAATACAGGCGAGTGCATCGTCTGAAAGTACCTCTTGTCCAAATGTTTCATTTTGAGCAGTACAATTCTCTCCAGAGCCCTCCACTCTGCATTAGCTCCACACACAAGCTTAAGCATCAGTTCTGACAAACTTATTCCTTTTACTCATAAATAATAATAATTATAATAAAGTAAATCTGGTGAATCAGTATTGATTTACACAGCATCTTTATAAAAAAGCTCTTCTTAGTGTGCAAATGTACAAAATCTTGAACTATTAAGAACTGTACAATAATCCATTATACTAATAATTTTTAGTGACCCATTTTCAATTGTCCCCTGAAAATGCCTTATTGATCTTCTGGGGTCATTATCAACCACTTTGACAATCTCTGAGTAAGGTAACCTTTTATCCATAGGATCTAGTCTGGCTTGTAGATGAATCCAAAACTGATAGTGGCACAGGAGCAGGCATTTGCAAGGTACTTATCCAGTGGGACAAAGAAGCCCTTGCCTTGACAAGTTCCCTGCTGTGTTTCATGCAGATGCTGCTAAATATTACTTAGTTTTATTGAATCTCTCTGCATAAAATAGTGCAAACACTATCTACATTGTTTCTGACAATCATGCTGCTTTAACTATAGTCACTAGTTTGGAAGTGATGTTTGTACCTTAATGAGCTGGCTATTCATAACAGGATCTCTCTCATGGGTGCTAGGACATGAGGGTATCAATGGCTGATATACTGGGTCAAGCAGGAAGCTTCATATCTCTTTGTAGTGTCCAAACCAACTTTTAGTATTTCTTATAATACTTATTTTTAGAGCTGTCAAAAAAAGTGGATTACCTCCAATCATTCTAAGTAGTGAAAGTTAATTCTTGGCTTAAGGCAAATCAGAATAAGATATTTTTTCATAACCAGTCTCTAATCAAATTTCCAAAGATTTCTTGGCTTTTGATAAGAATCATGCACATTTTGGTTGGTATTGTGGCTGGCTTTGGTTACTTTTGTAAACATTTGTGCTGACTGAAAAACTTTCCTCCTCAGTCTCTTGCCACTTTTCCAGACCTGCAGAGGACACTTCTCTGCATTGAAGTCATCATAAGAAAAGCATCTCTGATGCTTTCATCAGAGATGAAAGAGAACAAATCATAGAACAAAGAAAAGAGAACAAATCATTGTTGAAAGACTGAAGCTATCTATGTTTTTAAAAAGTTATTTTAATAATTGAAAGAATCATTTCTATCATTCCTCCTCTATTTTGAAAGATTTATATAAAGCTTCCTTATATCAGAACATAATTTAATACATTTTTTTCTGCATTTTCTGCATGCAATTATACCTTAATGTACAAACTTCTTAACAGTAATTCATAAAGTAGAAAAAATTAGTTCAAAAAGGTGAGGCTATTCATGCTGTACATCTGCAATGCCATAGAAAGGAAAAACAGAATACTAACTTTATCAAAGCTAAAAAGTTTTTATTTCTTTTTAAATAAAAAGAATGAGAAGTTTAAAATTTAAGAATTCAGAAGTGTTAGGAAATTACAAAGTAAGAATTTGGAAAAACAATTTAAGTTTATTTTTTTGTATGTATTAACATTTAATACATAAATTAAATAGTAAATTTAATATCCTTACTCTTACTTCTGTATGAGTAAGGACATTAAAAATTTGATATATTAAAATACCAGATTCTTTGTTCTGATCACTGTCAGGGAGCAATTCTTTTATATAAAAAGGTATGATGAATAAGAAATTCATGTAAAAATTAAATGTCAAAAATACAAGCATTTAATTGAGATGCTTAGAAAAATAGAATATAAGAATGTACTTTGGAAATATTAATGTAGTTCAAACATTCTTAACTAGGGATAGATTAAGCTAGTGTCTACCATATGCTATAAAGGGACTTGAAATATATTATTTATAAATTTATCACATCCATGCTACTTTTTCACATGCAACCACATTTTTACATAATATTCATTAGTATAAGATATATACTTAACTTAATTCAAATGTAACTATTTGTATCATGTTAGTAATTCTGTAATGATTTATGTACCACATAGCATGCATCTTCCTGACAACTAAACAGAACAGCCAAATTGAGAGAATGATTTCACCAGAAATCCAGTGGCAGCTTATAGTATCTAATATACTATCATACCACATTCTAGTAAATACAATAAATAAATTTGACATCGAAATTTAATTTTTTATTTGTCTGTGTAATATCAGATTGTTGTTTTGCATATTTCATTTTTCTCCCTTCGAAAAAGTGTATTTGAGATGCCTTATTGGAAACTTAATTGATTTATAAATTTTTGACCAACTTATTACGTCTGCAAGTTTAGACACAAATATGATGAGTTAACTTATAATAATAGTAAAAAAATAAGTAAGACAAAACCTTTCGTACTTTGTACTTAGTGATTAAACTGCTAGAAACAAAGTGCAAAAGGTTTTGTCTTACTTATTCTAAGTAGTTCTAGCTTTTTTTTTTTACTATTTGTATGCATTCAAATTCAATATGTTTAATAATGCATCTCAAATAAACTTTTATGGAGGGAAAAGAAAATACACAAAAGAATCCAACACTTATCTGAGAATTCTCGTCACACATGCCAAATACTATATTCTTATTAGTTTCAAAAATACCAGTTTTTTTTAACGTCAATAATAATGCAAATACAATTCAAATGTTTTCAATCACATTCAATGTCATTCACATCAAAAGACATTTATATCATTTATACAGTCAAGACAAAATAATTTAAACAACATTTACATATTAACACAAAAACCAATTTAAAAAGCCATCGAAGAATCCAACATCGCAATGACAAACAAAACACCAAAATCCGCCATCAAATTTGTTTGTATGCTTTAAGAGCCACAAAACGTATAATTTACGCATCAAAATGTGGAAAAAATACATGGTCATGCGCCCTTTATTTTTCAATTTTTCCCGACCATGCCATTTGATACCACGATCCAGATCACGTCACCAGATCACGGTATCAAACGGCACGGACACAGGACATTCAAGAACATCATCATTCATATGCATAAAACACGGTCAGAAAATTTGCACCGCCACAGTCACGTCACCAAACAAATTTCTTCTCATCAGGATAAACACAAACACCATCTCACTACTTATAAATACACTCTTATTTGTATTTCTCCCAAGGAGAAATAAAATTTGTTTAACGTGGCCACAACTTTTGATTAGTTCACGTTACCATTCGGTTATAGAAAGGAAGCAAATTCGAAGTTTGCAATGCAAGGCTATTCTTAAGTTCGGGAACAAAATAATAACAGTACGTCCTACGCATCAACAATAGGCAATGACCTACACCAAGAAAGTCGTCCATTACTTGGATATTAATAACAAATGTGTACAGTTTACACCTGTCGTTCACTTTTAAATTATCCAAACTTTAAAAAAAATAAAATAAATTTAAGAATTGGAAATGAATTTAATGGCATTTACAATTAATTAAAAAACACGACGAATAAAGAGAAAAAAAAATAAGCGGCACGACGTTACTCACTGCTATATGCGACTGGAACCAACCTCGGCAAAAGCCATGGGCAAATTTATTTACAAAACTCGTGTTTTGATTGTAGCGCTAAATTTTAAACTTTCGTTTTATTTTTTATTTATTTAGTCGTTTCATTTTCGATTTCGAAATTTGCATTTTATTCTCGTGTATAAAAATAATTATTAAATTTGTATATTAATTAAAGTATTATTTAATTACGGCGTTTAATTTGTATTTTTAAACGTTTAATGGTATTATATTTAAAATTTTTTTGTGTGTGTGTATAACAATAAACATAATGCTAATTAATTTGATATTCATATTCGTTATTTATTTTTGTACGGTTAAATATTAAACCAAGAATTTATTATTCTGTCTACATGCAGGATCGACGACTTTTTTCAAAATTCTTTTCCCTTTGAACCA